AGCGAGTCTCCTGCAGGAGTTCAGCTGGGAGGTGTTTGATCATTCACCCTACAGCCCGGACCTCGCTCCCAGTGATTTCCATCTTTTCCTACACCTCAAGAAATTCCTGTCCGGTCAGCGTCAGCGTTTTGAGAATGACAGAGAGGCGGGGATGGTTGTCACACAGGGGGTCCAATCCCAGGCGGCCGACTTCTACGACACAGGTATTCAAAAGTTGGTCCCACGGTATGACAAATGTCTCAATTCCGGTGGCGAATATGTTGAAAAATAGCTGGACACTTGCTGTATCTGTTGCAATAAATATTTCCATGAAATTGTGTTTTGTTTCTGTAAACGGCCCCAGGGAAACTTACTTTGTGGACGAGCCTCGTATGAGTTTCGTATTATGCCCACTGTTAACAAGAATTATTTCCTTAAACAGGATTAATAAATAAATATTCTTAATGGTTAATAATTATGTTTCCGTTACGGTTCGAGACAAATTCTTAAATAATATTTAGACGAGGGTTAATATTGTTTACTTTCTAATGTTTAGCGACGTATCACATGTGAGTACCAAGGGGAAAGCAACTTAAGTTAGACTTTTATTTATTTTTAGTTCATTTAACAGCTATGTGAGTATCTCAGACTAAAAAGTGCGCTTCTAAAACTATAAATTATATTCTATATGCCCTAGAAATTGCATTACTGCTCATAACTTGCACATTTAGAACAGATTCTTAAGTGTAAAGATCGTTCATAATCTCTGAATTTCGTAAGGGCAGATAATAACTGTGGGTGGAGAAGACGCTGAAGACCCGTTAACTATATTAATGAGAATGTTTCTCATGGAGGAAGATAGTACAGTGAAATCCACATCTGTTAACAGGTTAAAATACTGCCACAAACTTTATCTCTCATGGTTATATCATTGCCTCTTATGCTCTTATTTCTATGAGTTGTGATGTATGTGTCCTCCTTTCCTCGTCTTGGTGGATTACGTATTCCAGGCAGAGCGCTGCAACCGAATCTCTGTTCCAGATCAAAGAAAAGGCGAGTGGGGGGGAGGTCTAGAGCAGAGCAGAGCAGAAGGAGTTGTACCCCAGGTTTTGCTAGCTGGTCGTTAAATTAGGGGTTCCCGTGATTCGCTGAATGCAAAGCATCGGACGTTGAAGAGACCTTTATACACTGGACTACACTTATAAAAATAAACTTGTATTTACTTTAAAATTAGGTTTTCTAAGTTACTTTTCTTCTGAGAAATTAAAAATGTTAATTTTTATTGCATCTTTATGAGCTTGTACAACCCTTTGAAGCCGAAACTCGTCCCAGTAATATTAAAGAAAACTTCACAAGATCAACTGGTTAACATTGTTTGATAAAATAATCAATTGCTGTTTACGCTGAAAACCATACGAAACCCATAAGTACAAAATACAAAATTATCGAATGCTATAGCAGGTGGTATATATGCTTACCACTGGGCTTTAAATATTACATAACAACGAATAATCAGGCTATCCTGACTGAGGGTTTTCGTGGTTTTCCACAGTCCTTATGGGAAAAATCAAAAAGATTATCTTAAATTAGGCAAGACCGCTTCCTTCAAAATCCTTTTCAATCATTAATCTGCAATCAGTTGTCGCTATTCAAGCAACAGTATTTAATCTACTGCAAATGCTGCTGATAATTAACATTAATATTATACTGTTTACAACTATGTATAGATTTCCCGAGTGTTTGTGGGTTACCATAGCAACGAGTTCTCTACCGTTAATGTGTATGAATCTGTTTTGTCGCTCTGCATTCACGTACCGCTGCACGACAAGCGAACAAGCGAACAATTATTTCAGCTTCAAGCAGATCAGTTTGTATATATTTTGAATATTTTATTATGTGATGTGTAGTTATTATTTATAATGTAAACGTCATTATTTTACACAGATAAGACGAATTTTCATAAAGGAATTAATCTATAAGGTGTTGCTGTATAGCAACTCAATATCTTTAATCTTGGTGAAATTTCATGCTCTCACGGCGGCCAGTATAAAGATGATAGCGCAATATCCCACAAGACAGTCGCCTGCATATTTAAGCACATGTTTTGTCCAAGTTATCTAACATGAAACAAATAGTCTAATAACCTAACTGACCACAGTCTGTGTATGGAGACTGTTGGAAGTTGTTCCAAGATCAGGACGCCGAAGAGACTGCTGGGAAATAGCAGGACGAGGGGCACAATTGGTATAATTCGTGTTCCTTAGCTAATTGCATTACAGCGAACAAATGAATGATAAAATGGAACACGTAGCACGGGTAAGATGAGAAACACACACGGTTTTAATTTCAGAAGATGAAAGAAAAATCCTACGGTGGAGACCTAAGCGTAGAGTAGGATAATATTAAAATTTATCCAAAGAAATCGAATGTATGAATGTGGTCTGAATTTGTCTGGCGGCTAAGGATGAGATCCAGTGGGAACTTGTGTTAACACAGTTCTTAAAACGGCTGTCTTCTGGGTTATTGCGCTGTGTAGTCTGGTCGATGTCCAACATGATGCCTCCGTCATCAGTGACTCATCGACCTGATGATAGACATTAGTGTACAAAAAAATCGACGTCAACAGTGTGACCCCCCCCCCTAAAAAAAAGGATTTACAGACCAAGTGGCCTACTTTTGAACAAGTCTGAAGACCCCTGCTCTGTGGAGTCGGGGCGAATTGGCACTGGGAGACGTGATATGGCCGCCTCTCACAGTGAGGAGGCACTGTACTATGAGGGAGCCCCACTTTCGTTAAGTCTGCTAATGAGACGCACGTATCTGTCAACTACATCCAATGTTATTGATGGTTGTAATATGCCTGCCTCCATTCACACTCACTCTGTTCCTCACTTCATCACGAATTTTAATGGCAGTCATGGCAACCCAGCGCTCGGTTATTTGCTTACTCCAACATTCTGCTACTCCGGTATTCACTTACATCAGCCCCGAATGTCAACAGAAGAACCGGGTTCAGTTTCATGGAATAGCCTGCTTTTCGTGGATCGGTGTAACAAGTGTTTGAAGAAGCAAGGGGTTTGCATTCAAGAATCATACTGCCTGATGATCTGTCTGTCTTTTTACGAATGTAATTGAAAATAAGTTGAGCTTAATTTTTAAATTACCTTGCTCAATCAAACTCAGAACACGAAGGTTCATTACCGTGCTCGCAACAGACAGCCCAATTATCAAAACACTGCCTATAGGAAAGAAACGATTTCATATCTAATCCATTCACCTTTGGTAGTCACGAGATTTACGTAAGGGAGACAAGTTGTGAGGACTTAAATCGGATAGAAGAGATTCAGGATCGTGTCTAAAGGGCCTCATATATTACCTACTTTTCCAACAAGATTCGGAAAACGGATAAATCCACCAGTTTTACCCGTGGCACCACACAGTTTTAAACCCTAAATCCGTACCGGCTGACACCACACACAGGCCGTTACACGATAGTCACGTTCGCCAAAAAATCAAACTCGTTTGATTTTCTTCGTTCCAGTTTTAAAAAAAACGCACGTTATTTAAAACGGCTAGTTTTGGCCCATATACTAGTAGTGTTATGGGTACCAACTGAACCTAATCCGGAAATTGGTTGAAGAAGAACGTAGTATATTGGTATCTTAAGGACAGGCTTTGGTACGATAGGCTTCTGCTGCCATATTGTTCATAACATGCTTACAGTTCAATTATACTGTAATGGTATCGTAAATATATTTAAATTATTTTAGGACAGAAGAGTACACTGGCTGGCAAGTGTTCTGGAAGTAATTTCAACCCATTTCCACCAAACAAAGGACGCAATGTACAGGAATCCATCACAAAACTAATTGTAACAAGCAAAAATAATGACCTGTTTATAAAAACGCCACATACTATTATGAAGATAAACAATTAAATAAATGAAAACGAAGGTTTGGTTCCAAATTAGTATACGTCTTTTTCCACTTAATATTTACAACACCAAATTTTCTCCCGAAAGAAAACATACACAATCCGCGAATCGGAACACTGCCTTACTGGGTACTAGTTTGTGCGAGGCGTAGGTCTGACATGAATTCTAAGATGGAACAAATAACTGCGATTCCCTCGAGAACCGCGTACAATTGTCAGTTTCAAGCACGCGTCTCGATATGACGTGTGCAAACTCGCAATCCCCAAGTCTCGAGTTCCGCAGACTGCCCTGACTCAGCTCGTGACGCACTTGGCATGCTACATGTAAAAGAATGTAGCTGCGGCTTAGAACGGTTAAATGAGGCAGGGGTTGAACGGAAACTCGGAGGATAAAGGAAGAAAAAATATAATAAAAATCCTACTTGCAAGTGTCAAGTCGTCTTTTACGTCATCAATCTTTGTTTCGTGTCAATGCCAAGTTTTTGAAACTCATTCTTCATTCCCTAAACTCTTCTAATCTCCCTCCTGTCCTTTCAACACCTATTCGATCCCTTTCCTTACCCAGACCACATTCAACAATCCTTCCATTCCAACCCTCGCGCTTCTGTTCCAGAAGATGAATGTGACACAACATTTCAAACACCCTTCTTAGAATTGTATATAACAGTACACAGAGGAAACCAGAGTTACAACCGACGCTAAACTTCCGCCTCTACGGTCTCGTCCAGGCAACGCACCCTGAAACCAGATCGATGTCGTGGCCTGACTATAAGACGACACAATTCTTCCTGAGCTCGCGTATTCAGCAGTTATACTGTACTGTATTACATGGGTTTAAACCACTAC